CCAACCAATTGTTGGTGAGTCTGCAAATAACTCAGCTGAAAGAGGAAACTTATTGATGCCCTTCCCAAATTGTTTATACTTCAGGAGCAGATTGTGTGCACACAACATCAAAGTTCTGGCCTTTCTATAACTTATTTCCTTTGCTGTTATCATCAGGGTTATAATCTCACCTAGACACCAACCAGCACCATCGGCATGGTTTCCTTGGGTAGAGAATAGAACTTACGGTATGTGTGAGAGAAGCTTTTGTCTTAACTGGCTCCTATTCTTTGTTGAACTACTGTACTTAGCAAAAAAAAAAAAAAAAAGCAAATGAAGCTACTGGTTCACAAGGCCTCTACTTCAGGACAATCTGAGATCCCTTGCTTCTAGTCTCCTGAGGGGATTGACATCTTTTAGACCCCCTCTAATATTCTAATAGCATTTTGCTAGCATTTTATTTCTGCCTCCTGCTAAACACTGAACTGTGCAGCAAACCCCATGTCACTCCAACATCCCAGCTGCAGCATGGTTTTCCATGGCCAGAGTTGGGTATGGCTGTGGCTGATAGAAGGGGAATGATGGAGCAGAAACAACTTCCCTGGGCAATGAGACTCCTATGGTCCCCTGGTGAGACCATATCACTCTCCCCATCTACTTCTGACTAATTTAATTGTGAGAAGAGGACATCTTTATTAAGGTCACTGGCCAGAATAAATGAGAGTGTTGAAGAAAAGGTCCAAGAAGAACTGCTAAGGAAAAAAAAATAGTCCGAGCCAAAAGTAAAAGAATCTCCTTTCGCAGATCAGAATGAGTTTTTTCTCTTTCTTCTCCACGGGAATATTTCTGATATTTGAATGTCATTGTCATGTCCCCTTCTTATCTACTCTTTAACAGACTAAACATATGCAGCTCTTTGTACTACTACCCAAATGAATTTTCAAACCTTTCATCATCTTAACTAACCCTTCTCAAATCACTCAGGCTCATTGCAACCTCCTCTTTATACAGTAGCTCCTCTCTCATATAATCTTATGTAGCAATTCACATGCATTAGTTCTTCAAAGTCATGCTTGAAAGCATACAAACCCATACCTGTGTGGTGAGAATTTCACTCTGGGAGAGTAGACCTAATGAATCTTCCAGATGGCTTGCTTCACTGGCATAGGACATAGTTTCTTCACCTTCCAAAAACAAAAATGTTTCACAGAGAATAAGAGAGAGAGCAAACAATTCTTGAACTGGGAGTGGGAAGCTTATTGAAAGAGCAACAAGATGGGGAAGTTAACAACCTGCAGAACTCCAGCTTTCCTGCAGCATCTGAACTTAGACCATGCAGATGGATAAGCAGTGAAACATCCTATGTGACAAAGCAGCTATTTAGGTACTGAGGTTACTCAATGTTAGGCAAGCAAGGAATAAACAAAACAAAACAAAAACTGAAAAGGAAATTGAGCCAAACCCCCAAAGCAGCAAAGTTCCTCTATGCTATGTTTACATAACATCTATATCTTTATGAGTGGCTTCAACCTATATGGGTTTGATTTTATTAAAGTTATTACAAGTCTGACTTAGACTGATTCAGCAGAGACTCAGCCAATTTTTCCCATATTTAACATGGGTTGATTTACACATTGTGATAAGCCAGTGATGGCAAACCTAAGACATGCGTGTCAAAGGAGACACGCCACGATGTTTTGGGTGACACACCAGCATTCACCAACACCCAACAACAGTTCTTCGTGTCTGAGTTACCAAAGAACCTGAGTTTGTTTTACTTGTATTTCATTTTTCTAATTATTTGACATTTCTTTATATAATACATAGCACCACACGATTGGACTGTATTTTTTTTAAAATACATGAATATGTAAAGAATTGTTTCTCTTCTGTTTGGGGTGGAGGGGTGGTGACATGCCAGCAGAGTCGAGTTAGGCATTTTCCAAATGTTTGATATGCCGAGCCCAAAAAGTTTACCATCACTGTGCTAAGCCATAACATTATGTATCTTTGGCTTAGTATGTGAACAGCAATGGACTACTGTTGTTGCTTTTTAATTTTTTCTAACCTAGCCAGCATAGCATTAGGGTTTGGTCATGACCCTGCTGCTATTGGGTTGCATTTGGATGGGATGATTTAGCAGGGAGGCTGGAATGCTGGGGCAAAGTAATAGTTAGTAATAGTTACTAAACATGTAACTCAGAATTGAAAAGTTATTATAGACTGTTCTGCTGATTCTTTTGCAGAGAAAGAGAATAAGTTGGAGACAACTGCTCTCAGCTGCATGTCTAGAAAAAATACTGTTAAATTCTTTGCTAGAAGGAAGTCAGAGTTGAATTGTCAGGAGTTGGACAGCATATAAATTTAGTAAATAAATAAATAAATGATGGTTGGAGTTCATTTGCACACTTTTGCATCCTACTAATACTGAGCTTTTAAAGCCTGAGGCAATATTTTTTTCTTTTTAGCTGTACTGTAATGTTTCTTTATTATTGAAGCAACAATAAAGCTACAGCCCTGTTTCAATAGTCATAAAACACAAACAGTCACACAGGCTGTTGTTTTTTGCTAGGCTTATGCCTGTGAACCTGATGCTGGTACATACATAGAAAGTAAAGGGGGACAGCAGTTCATGCTGAATGCTACTTGCCACCCAAATTCCAAACTGACCAACCAGATAACTTTTTAAAACATTTTTTTAAAATCCTCATTAACATTTTTACTGCCAGCTGGTTGGCAGGGAGCAGCAACATGGATTACTTGTCCATCTACTTTGTAGCCCTAGAGTGAAAACAATGAAGCAAGAGGCTTATTCTGAATTCTCATTTTCTATGGCTGGAACACCTGAAATATTTCAACTTCCAGCAGAACACATCCAACTCAGTGTTCAAATGAAATATTTCAATGAGGCTGTTTTCTTCTGATCTTGAAGCAAAGCACATTTCCCATTTTGTGTATGTCTGTACTAAAAACAGTCAGTTAACTTCTGAAATGCAGAATGCAAAATGTATTAAAACAGGATTCTTCATGGGCATTCAAAAACGATAAAAGCACACAGCCAAATGAAATACTTCAATGGACAGAGAGACACGCTTTAATTCAGGGATTCTCAAACTAATGGCCCCAAGGTGGCATATACAACTTCGAGATTGGGAACTCACTTTAAAAAAAAAAAGGCTTCAGGTAATCAAGCTTGGATGTTTGAGTATTACTAAGCTTACAAATTCCAGCTGCTTCCTTTTCTTAACAGAAGCATGAGTTCTATGAAGCACCAAAAATATTGTAAGTTACTATTATGTATTTGTCATAGAACATTATTTGGAAATGAAATTTTAATTCTTTCACAAAATTTTCATAAAATCTGTCATGTCAAAATAAATAAAATAAAATAAAATAAAATAAAAATAAAATAAAATAGAGGCGGTTTGTAGAGGTTAAGGCACCAGGCTAGAAACCGGGAGACTTGTGAGTTCTAGTCCCGCCTTAGGCACAAAGCCAGCTGGGTGACCTTGGGCCAGTCACTTCTCTCAGCCCTAAGAAGGAGGCAATGGAAAACCACTTCTAAAAAATGTTGCCAAGAAAACTGCAGGGACTTGTCCAGGCAGGCATCGGGAGTCAACACTGACATGAAGACGTAATAATAGACAAAAATAATCTAGTCACCAATTCACTTGATAGCATAGTAAAGGAAAACAATCAAAATAAAATTCAGATTAAAATTAGAATTAATCAAAAAATATGAATTACAATGAATACTGTTTTCAGCGTTTGACAAACTTTTTAGGAATTTCAATTGACATGCTAGCTAGTAGAAAAGTTATGTGCAACATGAGTACATAATTACACTTGCAACATCCTATTTCTGTGAGACAATATTTTTACAGTTATTGATAGAAAGAGCAAATACCGATTAAAAATGAATATGGAATAAGAAATGAGAGTTGCTGTCTCAAAAATGAAACCCAGATTTCAGTAATTATGCAAAAGTAAAAAAGTTAATCCTTTCAATTAAAAAAAATGATGGTTTAAACTTGGTTTTTTTATTTTATAAAGTTGTACAGTACCATCATTGTTTTGTTATCATCATTGTCATCATTGTTGCATTGTAAAATGCAATTAATAAAAGTAATATATTTATTTCTTGCTCCAACCTCTCTTGATTTTATTTGATGGGCAAAACAAATTGATGTATTATTTTAGGGGATCATGATCTTGTAAAGTTTGAGAATCCCTGGGTTAATTCATAAAAAACAGCAGGAAAAATCCTTTTTTTTTCCATTGGAGCTAGAAGCAAAAGTACAAATATTTGAAGTTGCAGATGGGCATTTAAAAATAAAGCAAATCTAGCTAATATTTGCAATTGCAGTTTTGTACCTAAATTGGATTCTGAATGTGCACATTCTTCTTGCCCATATTTCAGTTGCCTAGTATCACTAGGGACTTCATCACTGGGTGAACTGTCTTTCTTATTCCCACTGAGACTGGGCAAATTCTCTCTGGAATTAGAGACCGGGATTATATCCCTTGAATTACAAGGTTTGCCAGAGTCCACAGATACATTTGACTGGGAGGAAAACAAATTCACAGAGCACTCTGATTCCTGGCTTGGGCAGATAACCTCCTCTTTGTGTATGAGACAACTTCTGCTGCTGCTCTTTGATGCTAGCATCTCTGCTGGTGTCTCCTTCTCTTTCACTGATTGTGCTAGTGTGCTTTGCATATTTATTAATGCCTGAAAGCAAGGCAGTTTTTCATCTCCACTGGAATCCTCCTCTTCTGAGGATGGCAGCTTCTGTAGCAATTTGCGGCGAGTAAAAACAAAGTCCTGTCTCTTCAATATGAAACTGCATTTGTTTCTGCTATCCAGGTCTGTCCCATTAGTGGTTTGCTTGTCTGTTTTAGCAGGCATGGCTGAGATGTCACTTATATCCCAAAGGTTTGGTGAACCCTCTTTATTTTTGGTGGATGGGTCCAGCAAGTTGTCTGGTGTCTCTGACAACAGTTCAGAGTGATGGTGCTCCTCCTCAGTACAAAATTCTAAGTTCGGTCTAGGAATCAAGCTCTTAACCCCACCAGTGCTAGAAATATCAACAGCTTCTTCTGTGCCACTGTTCAGTTGCTTTTCTTCCATGAGGTTCTTTTTCTTTTCAGCATGGATGAATCCAGGTAATAGTGGCAGACAAGTTAAAGAATGTTGCTGCATTAATTCTGTCTGAGGACTCAGTTCCAATCTTTTGTTTTCAGTACCTTTGGATTCTGCTTTTTGAAACTGGACTGAACTAGAACTTCTCCCATTAATATGGCTTAAACTTGTATCATGCAAATTGCTGTTTTTCCAGACATTCAGACTTCCATTGCTATCATCTGGACTTTCAGTTTCTCTCTCTAACCCTGGAGACTGTCTTTCTTCACCTATTGGTTCTTTACTTTCTGGTTGACTTCCACCTTCTCCATTTCTGGCAACTAATTGCACAGATATGGATGGACAATCAAGAAATGGAACTGGCGAGGCAAGCTGGAGGTACTCAGTTCTATTCTTATGTTCAGAAAAACTGGGGGTACAAGACATTGGTGTTTGGACAGAAATACTTTTATTCACCTCACAGGAAACAACATCACATTTCTCTTCATGTGTTCCATCTTTATCATCTTTTACTTTGTCAGGGCTCAGCTCTTGCAAATATATACTATTCATAGCCAATTTCTTTACTTGACTTGGATGTAGCAAGAATGACTGGCGTTTGCAGCAGCCAAATATATTCTGCATGAAGCCTGTATCTATTTCACTATCATCAGTTTCTGGATTCAATTCCCAAGTCCCTATAGCTTTACTATTGGTTTCAGGGGACTTATCTGTGCAAATCCCATCACCCTGTATTATTTGAGAACACACTGCATGTTTCTCAGGTTGACCCACAACTACGAACTGCTCATCTTTGGAAGCTGCTTGTTCTACCTCTCCAGGATGAATCTGCAAGAGTGAGCTTCTGCCTTGGGAATCTGCACTATGGCTGTCTACAGTCTGTTCAGTATTCAGAATATCTTTTACAGTTCCAATCACATGAGAAGAGTTTTCATGGTTAGCATAAGTCATATCTGTATCACATAGGTACAGCTTATCAATCATGCTTGCATCTGACCAAGACTTCGCCTTCTGCAGATTGTCCTGCAGCACATAAGAGTCATCTTCTGCCACAGAGGAAGATGGCATCCTTCCTGAAAAAGAAAAAGGTTGTTTCTGCTCTCTTTCATCCACATTTCTTTTTCTCTTGGTTGGCTCACTTTGTCTCCTGGTTTCTCCTGTGAGCAACTGAAGCCTCCTGCTCCATCTAACTTGCATCTGGCCTGGACTCACTTCTTTCAGCTCCTTACTATCTAGATCTGTCTTGGTCTTCTCAGACAGCATAGGGCTTCTATTCCTCAACACCTGCAATTTGCCAAGTGGTTTCATTAATTCTTTGCTTCTCTTGTTCAAATTACTTTTGTTCTTCATATTTGTAAGGTTTAATTCCGGCAATGTGTGGCATTCACTTTGAGCTTGTTTACCTCCATCTGCTTTCAATATGGATACTCCTTCCTCAACACAGAGTGTTACTGAAAAATCAGCTTCTGTTTGTTCTGCTGGGGATTTATCAACAATATCAAAGGCTTGGTCACTGTTTTCCAAACCCGGGTCTTCTTTTTCCTCAACTGATTTCTTATTGCTTGCTTTAACATTCTGTCTCTTGTTGAAATCCTTGGGTGTAACATCTGATGTAGCCTTTCTCTTTCGTGTGAATATCTTTCTCATGGATGTATTACAGGAATGTGTGTTCAAAGCAGTGATTTCCTCTGCTTGGATCTGGATTGTTCCATTGTCATTTCTAGGGGGGGTCACTTTGCGTTCCCTCTTATATGTTCTTCCAAATATTTTGTCAACAATTTTAGAGGCAGCTAGTTTGGACAAAGGCCTTTCATCTCCACCCATGTTTGTGAATTCCCCTTGATTTTCCATCTGTTCTGTCTTCTGGGAGATACAAGAGTCAGCATCTGACATATCTGGATCTGCATCCTGATCAAGCTCTTCACTGCAAACATCCAGCAGTGAACTAGAAGAAAGGATTTCCTTGCTTTTAGAAAACCACTCATTGACTTTCTTAATGCTCTGCATCAGTTTCTTTCCAGATCTTTCACTCAGAGGACTGTCAGGCATAGTCTGGGATTGTAGCTGCTGTTCCTTATTTTCACATACAATTGGTGTATTTCCAGCAGACTGGACAATGCCAGTTTTTTCTGCATCATCATCTGTCTGTTCATTTGTAGTCATCTTCATGGTTTCACCAACCAATTGTACTTGTGCTATCCTGCATAATGAGGAAGAACTATGATCCTGTATGTAACTAAAACCATGATCCATGTTAGATTGTTCCATACAGGTATCCAGAAAAGGTATATCCTGTTTCTTTTTGACAGTCATATTTTCCTCAACAATTTCCAAATTTTCAGTGACAGTTTGGGTATCATTTGTGCCTCCTAGTTTTCTTCCTTCTAAGTCTTCACACATATCTAAAAAAAAGAAGAAATAAAATTCTGTCAACAAATTAGAAGCAGCTTATGTAAGACATTTATCACTCACATTCCATTTCATCCTTCCCTGTTGCTTTTATTCACTACCATATGTGATAAACAATACTTGGCCTCTCTCATTCCAAGAACACCATTCATGCTATCTTGACCCTATTTTCAGCTTCTCAGAAGAGAAGCTGTTTATTTGACAAGGAAGTAGATCTAAAATCACTCTCTTAAGAATATATGTATTGCTAACTCCAGAGTAGCCAATATACCAGTAGCAAGCTTTTGGCTGAGCAAGCCTCCGTCCTTCAGTTTTTGCTAAACCGAAATACAGGTTGTCCTCGCTTAACGACCATTTGTTTAACAATGGTTCAAAATTATGATGGCCTCGGAAACTATGCTTTGCGGCCTATAAAACACTTCTGGCCATCATAAAATGTCATGCCACCCCCCCACGGCCACATTTTGGGCACTTAAAATCCGGCTCGCATTTACAACTGGTTGCCAAGTGCCCCACAATCATGTGATCGCCATTTGCAATCTTCTCTGCCGGCTTCCCCAGAAACTCAATGCAGGAAAGATTGCAAGAGGAGGGGACGGAGGGAAACCTCTCAGCGGTGTGCGGGAATGGAGCTCAATTCTTGAAGATTTGAGTTCCGTACTTGCACTCCGCTGAGAGGTTTCTCCTCCCCTCTCAGCGGCTTGCAGGAGCAGAGGTCAGATCCTCAAGATTTGAGCTCTGTTCCTCTAGCCCCAGGAAGGATTTCCCCTTCATCCACGGAGGGGAGGGCAAACCCTTCAGTGGGCTTTAGCAACGTTTGAGAGCAAAAGGGCTGCCTGCTGGGAGGATTTCCACTGGAGCTGAAACCATCTGGTAGGCAACCCTTTCACTCTCAGAGCTGCCTGCAGGATTTCAGCTCCACACTGAGCTGAAATCCTTCAGCAGACAGCTCTTTCACTTCCTCCGGTTAACGACCCAGGAGATTGCTTAACAACCACAAGTGGGAGTGCCCGGATTGTGGTTGTTGAGTGAAACAGTCTCATGGGCATCTTGCTTAACAATCACTTTGTTCAACTATCAAGATTCCAGTCCCAATTGTGGTCGTTAGGGGAGCATAATGTATAGACGCATAAACATCTGTATAGGTTTAGTTTTAGTTTCAATTTAGTTTTTCCTAAACTGAAATATTAGTACGCATCCTGACGTTTGCTCATAAGTCAATAAATCCAGTTAAGAAATTCTTAAGAAAAAATTACAGAGCAGTTTTGCACATGCATGAATGATTTCAACGGAAAAAAGCAGTATCCATGTGCTTAATGCCATACATGCATACACACCACCTCTTGCTTTAAAAATATAGACCTAGAAATCCTTTTTGTTAAACACCTAGAAATAAAACAAGGTTCAGGTAGGGTTTTCAAAGATAGCAATTTTACTTAGTAGTACATAGGATTTTGCAGAGATTTCATGCCTTACATTGAGGACTAGATATAAAGCTTCTGAAATAAACCATTCCAAGATGCAGTCCATTCTGAGTTGGTCCTTGGATCAAAAGGAAGTAAAAAGAAAAAAAGAAAAGAAAACCCATCCTTTCATTATCTAGCATGGAAACCATCTAAATAAAATGGTTCTGTTTGTTCATTTTTGATCAGAATAGGAGGGAATTTACAGAAATATTAGACTGTTACAAAGCAATGACGTGTATCAAAACCACAAACATTGGTGCATATTAGTTACACTTTTAAAGAATACTGAATTTTAAACAAAAGTGCTCATAAATTTTGTTCTAGCAAGAACAAAGTAGAACAAATAATAAAACCAAGTTTTATCCTGGATGCTAGAATTAAGAGTGACAAATGAGCACAAGGGTGACTCTAATTTGAAGGCAGATTTGTTGATCACTAAATCCAATATTATTATTCCATCTCCTCTGTCATAGTGCTCTGTGCTCCATGTTAAGTTTCTTTTCCTTTTTGGGGGGTTGGGGGGAGGCATGGCTATTGCTGGGCTGCCATTTGCAGTATCCCAGAACACTGGAACAACATTTCTGGACTGATCTGTGATACATGGAGTTAAGAAGGGAACTAAGTAGCAAAATTTGATCTACAATGTCAGGAAAAAACTGATTTGCATGCCCAAAGTCAAACCCTGCATACTGCTTTTGCATATTATAAAAAATTATTGTGACCTAGTAAAATGCAACTCAGCTAACTATTGTGAATTATTTGGAGCCCTGTATTTAGTATCCTACCAATAAACCAGTACCATCTGGAGAGAAACACTCTCACCTAGGATATTTAAGGATGGTCCATTGTTAGCACTTGGCTCAGGATGCTCTATATAACAAGGACTTTGGCTTTGATTCCCAATACAGCCTTCATCAACTTGAGACAGGGAAGTACTTCCAAAATCCATACTGTAGAAAAGAAGAATGAACAAAAATACTAGAGAATTAAAAGTCTGAGAAGTTTTCAAAATGATATTCAACCATGAATCCTATGTAAAAAACTAAACAAAACCAGGTAAGATATTGGTATAGCACTTCCATATATAGTGGCTAGGGAAGGAGGACCCCACAATGTCTTATTTGGCAGCAAGTTCTATCAGCCTGCCTCTCTGAGAATGTCCTCCTGTCTCTTCCTTCAGTTCAGAGAAATGAAGTAACATAATAGACATAAAAGAATAAACTATTTGTTTCTACTGTATACTATTTCTCACACTCTCATTTTTTCATGTTGTTTCAAAAAGATCAGAAGTGAGAAAGGTAAAGGTAAATGACATCTCCCAAGTGACCAGAGGTTACTGGCTGGACTTCTGTAGCCAATAATATCCAAATTACTTACTTTGGGTTTTCCTTTGAAAGGAGAGTACATTCACATGAAATGAAACTGTGTTCCTGCTTTTGCAAGATGGAGCATAAAAATAGAAAACTTGAGCCAAAGTTTGGAAGGTTCAGGGTTACAAGTAAGCCAAGCATAGCTACTTAACTGCACAACTGCACAGAAAGATGTTAACAATTTCTTGCATGGCATCAAAAACAGTGGCAAAACAATATCTCTCTTAAAATGCTTCAGTGAGAAAGGAGAAAAGCGATGGTCTCTGTGACTCATTACAAAACAGCAACTCATTTTCTAACCCAAATTCCACAGCAGATGCTACTGTAGTAAATATAAGCTGTGCAACACTGGATCTGTTCTCTCTTCCCATGCCATGGAAGCAGCAAGTCACACTTAAATAAACAAGTGGAATAAAAAGTATTGAGCCACCAAAAAAGCCCACATCCTGACCTTCTAGCTTTCGATCACTTTACTGTTTAGAGCAAATCAACATGACAAATGCAGTATTTGCAATGATTATCTGACCTCTTGTTCTATGCTCCTCTTTGGCCCTAAATCCTATTTGTGAGTGCCTCCCATTTACACTTTGCTTGCTTCCTCCTTCTTTCTTTAATTCTGTCTCTTCCATACCGTTCTATTACCTTGAATCTCTCCTTCAATCAAATACTAGTTTCTTGAACCTAGTATTTTTTTACTATTTTTTTTACTATTTACTATTACTTTTAACTGTTTACTTTTTTTACTTTTACTCTTTTTTTCAACTGTTTCCAGGCCATTTTTCTACTTATCTTCCCAGCCTAGCAAATATTGATAGCTAGTGATATTTTGATCAGAATTTAGAATGGAAAAACCCTAAAAATGGGGAAATTTTGCTGTCTCTCTGTGTCTTACTTGCAGTCTAAATTCACCAAAAGCAGAGTTAGATCCCACCAAATTAACAAACCTGAAACCAACAAAAATACACACAAGAACAGTCTCTGCAGAACCAAAGCAACCTCCATTTGACTCAATAAAAAAGATGTAGGACAGCTATTATATATCTGCCTACCATATGGGTGGGGAAAAAGTGTTTATCTTCCCTACTGAAACAGGTATGAGAGAAAAAAGAAATATTTTGCCAAGACAGGTATCTCTGTTACACAAAAATATGATGCCTCTCAAGGGGAATGTGTATGGCTTTATATGTACTTTTATAATGATAGATTTTGTTGCCTGATATTTGCTATTCAAATTAAGAAAAATATTACTAACTTCAAGAGGTTTATGTTAATTTTTAACATTTTACCCATGTGTATTTTACATATGCCTCATCTGTGTTCAAAGATGTTACTATCTTTGAACATTTGTAATCTATCAGTTCAATTAAGAAAGAATAGTTACCACTGTCCATAACACAAGAAAGCAGATAAAAAACAGTACTTGAAAAAAAATGCAAAAATATTAGAACAATTGCCAACAAAATTCTATGTAGAAGATACATAAAATGTTATGACCTAAGAACTCTAAAGAAGTCAGAAAAGTCATCAGAAATGTAGAATGACTGGAATTACTGAAATCCTTGTGGAAAAGATATATTTTACCTTGCTTTCCATTCAGAAAAAAATATGCTATAGGGAAATCACAAACACATGTCTTTTGAACACATGTTCTTCTCAAATCTATACTTACTTTTTATTTATGTAATAGCAATTTAATAATATTATACACTACCCAATCATACAGCTCAAGGCGTTTAACAAAGAATAATAACATTAAAAAAACACACAGCCAACCTCATTTGCATCTGAGCTAAAATCCAACAATCAATGGGCAGGAAATATAATCTAGGTTGACTCCCCACCCCCCACCAAAAACATAAAATCCCATCCAAGACCAAAATCCAACCAAAACTCCAAAACAACCCAAACCTAAACGGTAGCCCAGATTACCACCAGCACTGAAATGCATTTTAAAAGAACTGTTTTCATGTCCATGCAAAGCCCCAATAGGGTAGGGGGTGATCAAACATCATGGAGTCAGCTCCTTCAAAGTGCTGAGATTGCCACCAAGTCTGCTTTAATATAAAAAATATTTCATGCTTTAACATAAAGCATTATTTCTAATGCAGTGAATATTTACTATATAGCATATCTGTAAAATTTACAGATAAATGCTGTGCTAGTAGGTTGTATCCAGATTTAGTCAAGCTTAGCATAGATCCAGTATCCCCCACTGAGATCAGCAGTCAATGTCCTCTACTTTGAAGCAAACTTCCTAAGTGGTATAACCATATTGTTGTTTCCTTCCTTTCCACATTTGTGTAAAGATCATAGACGGAGAAGTGGAAGAGCAAGAGTTAAGAAAATCTATGCACTCAGGAGAAGTCCCTGCCACACACAAAAAAGCCACTGCCTCTTCTTCAGAAAATGCCTTTTCATGATATAAATAAACTAGATATGATTTGATATATTTTTTTCATCCTCTCTCACAAGCTATCACATTCACTGATCCAGGAAGCCCACAGCAGTAATGTTAAGGCACCCTATCCAGTATTTAATAGAATTTCTGACATCCCAAAATATGCAGAAGAAACAATAACTGCCTCAAACATCAACTTACCATCTGACTGTACTCCCCTTCTGAAAGATATCTTCAGATGAGCCTGATCCTTAAATAAGCAAGGTTTGCAATTAGAACACTTCACAGAAAGAGGATTCAAATACTAGTGTGGACACTTAAAAAAAACAGGATCACAGCCATCTTTTTCAGAGGCTAATGTTTTCTACCAAATATCCCTTTAAATCCAAGATGACCAAATCAGAAATTAAGATCAAAAACATCATTTAAATCAAAGCTATCTGCTGGAATGTGAATAGTGCACCTGGAATAGGGACCAGAAAAGGTCAATTTGGATAGCATATGGACTACAGCAACCTTCCTCAACCTGTTTTCCAACTGATATAACTCCTGTAATCCCAGTGGTCATGGGAGTTGGAATCTCAACGTATGAAAGGAATAGTTGGTGGTAAGGCAGGACTAGGGAAACCAGTCAGACAATTTCACACAGTAAATTAAGGGACAGGCAAATAGAAGAGGTAACAGACCCTCATAATAGAGTAAGAGAGAAAGCACATAGAACTGGTGCCTTGTAATGACTATCACACTGGGCCTGGACATAGCAAACATATACAAATCCCAATTCAACTGTATCATTCAAGTAGTTTTGACCAGTTGGAACACTAATAATGCTCCTATTAGTATTAATTGTGACACCAAATATTATATTAGAAAAAAGAAGAAGGAAATGAAACAGGAAGATTTAAGAAGATCAAAGACAATGATGCCTTATAATTAGGCTACCCAGAATAAAAGCATTTTTACATTACTACCACTGCTTACTGAGCTCCTTACCAATTTCAAATACCACAATTTTACTAGAATTTTTTTTCTTTCTGAGGGAGTATCTTGTTTCAGTTCCATTGTACTGTGGCAAGATGGAGCCATCACCCTGCCAAGAAAATGAAACATTATTAAAGGCAAATTATTCCTTTAAGACTCTGCATTGCCCAACCTGATTCCTTACTATAGGCTTTAAAAAAAATGGTGTTTGCATAACTTCTCAATTTTTCTGTGACAAAATGAAGAGATGTTTCACAGGCCTCCAAAAATAGTTTGACCCATACGTACTGTTTTTTTCCTCTAGGTCAAACTATTTTGTACTGTACTGTAACTTGAAAGATGTAGGTGAATGAGTAGATAATAGGGATATAGCAGACTATATATCTGGTGCTTGTTTTCTTTCCAGTCAGATTTTTTGGCATCTAAAGAACCACAACAAAATGTTATTCAAATGGTCTTTGTTCAGAAATTTAGATGGAAGTAGAACCCTTTCCTCTCCTTTAATTCCTGCTATAATTCCTCAACCTTAATCGATTTAAAACTGGCCTTTTTAAACTAATCATTAATTACATTTCCAATCCCCCTAATAACCAAAGTTTATTGGATGGCTATATTACTTAAATCATTAGAAGTTTTAAAAACATTTTAAAAACAAAAAAATGGCAAAATAATAAAAATAATAACTCTAGCCATTTCCCTGCATACCCTTTTGATATTGGTTACCATTTAAGAATGCTTGGCATAAACTAACAAAATATTTCTTAGGTTAGCATCAATATCCATAGTCCTTTGTTCTTTGATATAGAATAAAGTCTGTTTAATTATTGCTATTTTCCTATCTGCCCTAAATCTGTTGCCTGTTTAGAGTCGTGTGCTTTTCACAGAGAATTTTCCATTTCATAAATTAATTACTAACAATAAATAGATGCCAACGACGATATTAAACCACCTTGCAGTTTCAAATTTGTACATCATGTTTTTGGAGATAATCATTCATCTGTAGAAAATATAGAAAAATGTAAGAGAATATGTGTATATAATTTATCTATAAAATAAAGATAACAAACATAAAAACATGATATAAAACAATAAAACTATTAAAAGCCATAAAACGTAATATTATGATTTATGGCTTTTAATGGTTTTTATTGTTTTTAATTATTTTTGTTGTCATGTTTTTGGTTATTTTGCTGTATTGTTTTGTGTTTTTAACTTTGTACACAGCTCAGTCACATTTCTGACTGAGCTACATAAATTTACCAAATAAATAAATAAATAAATAAATAATAAGAATAGTTCATCAGGAATGATTCTGTACTACACAGCTTTTAATTGTGCAAATAATAATGTTAATTTTTATATCTATTCAATGCTGTCCTATATTTCTAAACATAAAACCTCAAATAAATATAAAAATCATATTTCTTTGGGATCTTAAACTTTGTTAATATAGCAGCAGTTTTCAGTAGCATTTGTTTTTTCAGTTTAAATAATGTAAACCCCTGGTTATTTACAAACAAAAATTGTACATTATATAATATTATTTAAACTACATTAATGAGCTTTATTTTTTTTTCTGAAATATTTCAGGCCCAACACTTATATACTACAGACAATGAATGTAGGGTATTTATTTAAGCTTTATTACATTCAAATAAAACTAACTTGTTAAATTAAATAATAATAGCATCAGGACATTTTCTGATGCAAATTTAAAATACTTGAATGAAAATTCTTATATACAAACCAGCTTTGATCTGCACTCCAAAGAAAGTCATCATATGTAAAACCTAATTTGCATTAAATAAATTCTAATTTAAAAGTTTCTGGAAAACCCATTACCTGATTTGAGTGGGATTATTCTTCCCCTTTAAGCATTATAGCAAAAATGGGGAACCAATTATGACCCCAAATGTGAATTATCCTGAGGCAAGGGAAGAAGGAATCAGACAACAGTATGTAGGGTCAACCCACCCACACACACGCAGTTCCTGATGCTTTTGCCTGGAGCCACCCTAAATTTGCCACCTCTTCTCTCCTTGCTTTAAATAGCCACTACTGACATCAATAAGGATTTTAAAGCCCTTCACTCAGGAAAATCTTTTGTCTCTAAGAATTGTTAGCAGGCAGTGAAACCCAGAGAAGAAACTGTGACAGACAATTGGCCCACAAAAAACCATCAGTGGGAATGAACATTACCTAGGAGAAAAATTGTACTTAAAAGTCAGCAGACAGAAGAAGGCAGAATAGGAAAAAAAGAATCAGGAAAATAAATTGATTGCATTTACAACATTACACCACCACCCAGGGATTTTGGTTTTCCAGTTTCTTGAAGGTCACGGCAAGGCCAAGGCTATTTGTACTTAACAGTCCAATAGTATATTCTATAGAGTCCCTTTTTATAAGTATTCATTGAAGCTTTCCAGATACACAGAGTCTTCACAGCAGTAATTTTAATGACAATTAAATGCATTTCAGTTGTGATACTCCAAAGCAATAAGCAAAGCTTTCATTTAGACACCACTTAAATGAAGCTATTCTAAAAAGAAATATCTTGGCACTTTCCCACAGTCTGTTCAACTCAAGTGATGACTTCTAAAATGAAGATAAAAGTGAACCAATAATTTAACAATTGGGAGGGCAGTGTCACATATCAATGTGTAGGAAAAAGAAAGGAAAAATGCTATTACCGAGTCAGTATTTCTCTTTTCTTCTTTCTTCATACATTTCCATCTGTCTCTATAGCCCTTACTGTTAACTATCAGTTGTTCCTTCCATGGGGATGAAGCAGAAACAGTTTCTATCCCTTTCTTGGGGTAACATAGTTCATCTGAAACTGAGAGAAGCAGGGAAAAGCAAATCTCAGTTTCACCCTGTAATATAATGCTGGTAGTAGGTAAAGGTTTTATAGCTTATGGTAGGATTTTTAAAAGACCCTAATTTATACAACCTACTAAACACAATTTATGAGGTTTTAGCACGACCAGCAGATGGTTTATGCTGAGGGTTCTTTGAAGTATCAGTAATGAGTTAACTAGGAACAGGTAATGTGTGATCCTCCATTTTAGCACTGAAGATGTTACCTAGCTGAGTAATGAAATGTTTGGAAGAAAAGAACCAAGCTCAGAGAACCCTAAGGACTCCACTAGGTACATTACCTGTTTCAGATATTGAAAAAAGGTGGAAGAAGATGGAAACTTTATAGGTGATATAATTTAGAACTTTAAATCAACATCTAGAAATCAAGCTTTAAAACAGAAAAATCAGTTGTGGAATTCAACATCACAAAAAAAATTAGTAAAGAAGCCTTCTATGAAGTTCATGGTAAGACACAATACCTACACTTCAGCCCAGTATCGTACTCGAAAGCATGGATGGTTTCTAGAACCCCTTTGATTACTTCCTTAAAACGGACATCTTCCTTTAGACTTCTGAAACAAGCCAACAAATGTATAGTTAAGAGGATGAATTCCACATTTTCTCAGTAATTTCTTAAGCAAATGCATTATGGAGTTTTGAAGAAGTAGAATGAAAAAAAGGCTTCTAAGGAGCTAATTTCTAAAAGGCCTTTTGTCTAATTAAAAAGTTCCTTGTTTCAGAATAAACTAACAAGCTATATTCTTTGAACATGCCTTTTCATTTACTTTTACACCCACTCTTCATTTATCAACTACCTCAGTTAGCGACCATCCACAAATACGACGGTAATAAATGGTAATAAAAAAACATTTTCCAACCAATTTGTGCATTTATGACCAAATCACATGTGCCTGACAACAATGCACACTGGAGCGAGTAACGCTGGCATAGCTGAATGAGACAGCAGCAACCAGTGATCTTCACAGCGTCTCTCTCAGTTGCATGGTCACTTAGCGATCATTTCGCTTAACGTCCTTATCTATTTATTTGGGAAATGTCCACCTCAGTTCTCCAATTCACTGTACATCTGTGTATGATCTCCTGCAGGAGAGCAGTCTGGTTAATTGGAACAGAACTCAGTCACTAAACGAGGAGTGGATATACTTTATGAAGTTTTAGCACGAACAGCAGATGGTTTATGCTAATGGTTCTTTGAAGGATCAGTAATGAGTTAACTAGGAACAGGTGATGTGTGATCCTCCAAAAGTTGAAACTCAACTTCCAGAAATTCTAGCCTATATGGCAAATGGTGAGAGGTGATGCAGTTCAATGTCTGGAATGCCACATAGTACTCATGATTAGCAGAATCAGTCTTATAATCATTGTCTACTTCATTAGCCCCTTTTGCCTGTTTTATCTACCAGATTCTATTTCTTGGAATATGGGAAAAGATTTGCATACAGCAGCTATCTATACACTGTGGTAACTTGTTCTGCAAGCTTTAAATATTTGCAATCATTTTACATATGTGCCCCCATTGCACAGATCTGTGTTAGCACTTGAACTGTGAATGCCCTAGTCTTTCTGAGATTGCGCCACACACAGTTCAGCATTTTACCCATCAGTCTCCTCACAAGTGTAATATATTTTGTGCCAGAAGGAATTCACCTTTTAGTGACTTTGGCATTGCAAAGTGGACACTGTGTTACACCTTTCTTCTGTCTAAGCAGTTTAAAAACACAGAACCTAGAAAAGAAGAAAAACAGTGTGTTTAGGGTCTCACTGAAATTCTGACTTTTTCCAAAAAGGTCACCTTGGGAAAAATTACTAATCTTCCTCCTGGCTTATTCTTATATTTTTGCATATAAACTGTTTTCCTTTTCTATACTTGTACTTCAGAATTTTATATCAACAAACCTTCAAGCAGCAAGAGCTTTTGATTTCTTAAATTTTACTCTTCCATAGCCTCTTCTTCAGGAACAAAAGAATATGATGACATTATTAGCTCCTGTTATTTTTACTGAAAGCATTTATTATAATTATAGATATAGCATAAGCATAACCAGAACTCAAAAAGTCATAATGAAAAATCATTGGTAGTGAATAAAAAATCAAAATGAGAACTTTTTCAATTCAGTAACAGAAGTAACATGCTTATTAAAGCCAGGTCATTCCCTCCTGGCCTCTCCTTTCTTTCCAAAGGAGAAAAAAGTGTGCATATGCATTATATACAGGGTGAGAAAGAGAGAGAGGAAATGTATACGTGCATATAGGCCATGCTAGCAGAAGTTGGTACAATGCTTGGGGTCAAAATGTTGCATATATCAAAAAATTTTATAAATACTAAATAGAGTCAAAAAAAGAAAAAGCCTGAAGAGATGTATTTCCAAAATGTGGCATTTTGCAATTTGACATGTATGAGAAAATGTCTCATTTACATCACTTTGGCAAGGGTGAGTAAAACCCCTGTAGATAGTGTGGGTTTGCTTCTAGCTTTCATTACATCCAGTTCTTGTCATCTTTGCCACCTTTTAATCTTTACTTTTGTTTCTTCTTAAAAAATTGTTTTACTTGTGAGCCACGTAGAGTCACTGAGAGTTGGGCAACATATAAATTTAATAAATTAAAGAAAGGGTATCCTAACACCATCCTACAATTTAAATAGCAAAAGGTGATAATAGAGAATAGAATTGAAAATGTCCTCCTTAATGGCATTTCCTTTAAGCCTGTGATGCACAGTATACAACAGGGGCAGGCAATTCATGGGGCACACAAGGTTTCTAGGATGATTTCTACAGCCATCCCAACATCCAAGACTGCACTCCAAAATTTGTTAGTACAAGCATTAAGTTTCAGCTATAAGATTTTCCATGTGTTTTTGTATTTAAAAAAGGTGCAGCGCAGGTTTATTAATCCTACTGACTGGGAGGAGGGAGAGACAAAAAGATTGAGCCGTACCTCAAGGCGGCATCCCTGCACCAACAAGCATATCCCCCCCGCTGCCCTCAGTAAGCCTATTTTAAAAAACCAAAGTACAGTCCATGGCTAGAAAAAAAAGTCCCTACTCCTGTCTCATACAGTATTATGTTTGGGCCAGGCTGCTATAGCAACTTTAACAAACTGTATGAGCCAGCATTGGAATCTATATTAGCTTGACCACTATTTGGATTTTGGCCCCTGCTATGCCAGAAATCAAATGTGTCCCTCAGACTGGAATGTTCTAAATTCTAAGTAATGACTTTTATGTCCGCAGCAGACAAAAACTTTGGATGTGAGATTTTAACTCTAGTGGCAGGCAAAACTGGAACAAGAGCTCATAGAACAGAACACCAGAATAGGCAATTCAGCATCTGTCTCCCACATAGATGGTATGGCATATGTTTTAGAAAACAAGACATTATGAGTACTGGGGACTCATATATTTGATCTGGACAGAGGTAATTATAACCATTTTGCATTTTAAAGGCTTGCTTATACACATTGGTTATGTTATGGCCTCCTTGTAACTCAGGAAGAAATTATCTGTCAGAAGCCTTGCAATCAATCAACCAGCCTGCTAGTGCTTGCTTCGTTTCTGCTATTACAAGGAAAACGGGGGGCGGGGGGAAAGAGCTAGAAGTTGAACCGTTAGGTGCAGATGGACTGTTATCTGTTTCTCAGGAATGCCCAAGGCCGTACCAGCATGAGACCAGGAGAGACCCAGTGACATGCGCAAGAGGGACATGAGATAGGAGGGGGAGATGGAATGGGAAAGGGGGTAAAATCAAGTTTGGCACGCGTAGGCTTTTAGTTTCAGCAGTGCTCTAGAACTGTACACTACTTCTCAATAAATGAACTTTTCTTTGAATCCACATCGGTTTCAGTGGGAGTTGCTTTCATTGGGAACTGAGCATTGCAGCTTCTTACATTATCTAAGATTTCTACATGGAAATCTCTAAAAATACTGAGGATTAACACTGACATTCTAACTTCAACCTTTCCCAGTGACATGTCCTCCAGAAGTATCAGACTACAACTCTCATTACCATCAGCCAGTTAGTCAGCATATTGAAGCTTTGATAATCTAAAGAAGAGGCTTACCTGCAAAAGATATGAGCACAATTTGTTGAAACTGGCTCTTTCATCACCTCCAGGCTAGAAGAAATAAATAAAACATAAAAGCTATGCATTTCAAACAAGGCATCCTCAATATAATTCTAGGAATCAATTCTATTGAAGTAGCCATTCTAACATGTTATCGTAATTACACACACTCTAATCTTGCAGCACCCTAAAATGTAATAGATTTATTCTGACATAAGCCTTCATAGACTAAAGCTCAATTTTAAGAAAATTATACTACAGCAGTCTATAAACCTGTGACATGCACACCCAGTACAGAACAAGGTTTTATACTGTAGCCCTTTCCTTGCATAGAGCTACCCATCTAATCAAATTAGCTATGCAGAAGGGAAAAGTAAAAGAAACAAGATGGCGGCCTGAAGCATAATGCCTGATATGGCACCACCAAGTGCTTGCTGCCATGACAACAAATAGTTAGCAACAATATCTAATGTTAAAAAAATGAGCTGTTTGGCCAAAGTTGGGGTAACTGTCCCATATTCATACAACACAAAGAGTTTCTAAATCTCTGATTTATATGAGGCTTTGGCAAATCAAAAAAGAATTGTGAAGAGCTCCAAAATAATAGTTCCAAACAGGATGAATAAGCTTTAAAATGACAAGAATAGCTCAATGCAAGCAAATGCAAAATAATGCACATTGAATCGAAATTGTACATATGTGCTAACGGTTCTGAACTGACACTGATTAAGCAAGAATGGGATTTTGGAGTTGGAGTTGTTTTACTTAGTTGCTAAGTAAAAATTCAACCTGGTGTGCAACAGCTGAAAAAAAACAAAGGAAAATTCCATGCTAAAGGGATCAAAAATAAAATTGCCAATATAGCAATGCTACATGAATATATGGTGCAACCCACATTTGAATATGATGTACAATTTGTTTTGTCATGCCCCAAAAATAATATTGAAGAATTAGAAATTATGCAGAACAGGACCATTAAAAATGATCAAACCCTCTTATGAGAACAGATTACAGCATTTGGGCTTTTCATTTAAAATAACAGAATATCAGAGTTGTAAGATACTTTATAAACCATCTAGTCCAACCTTCTGCTAAGGATCTCTCAACAGGTGGTTCCTTGTTGAAATCCACTACTGTTCTAGGCAAATTGTTCCATTGCCTGGGTCTCCTTTCATTAAATTTTAACTGTTGGTCCCCATTCTGCTCAGTTTAAACAGAGACCAGGTATATTCCCTCTTACATGTTATACTCTTGTAGTTATTTATAGACTATTTTCCTTTATTCTTTGTTGCAAGCTAAACATATCAAAATACTCTCTCTCATGATCTGGAGTAATGCTTCTATTCATATAGCTTAAAAATATAAAATCATGTGTGGCATGGAAAATGTGGATAATTTTTTTTCCTCTCACAATTTTTAAATTCAAAGTCATTCTCTGAAGTTAAATGCAGGAAGATTTACAGCCAGTACGAGGAAATTCTTTACATGATGCACACTTAAATTGCAATCAGTTATGATGGCCACCAATTTACATGGAGTTAAAAAAAAGAGAGAACTAGACAAAATTATTGAGGATAGGGTTAGCAATACCTGTCAACAATAAAGGGATATTTTATCTTCTTGACTCAACACCAGATGAGTATATGGAAATATTAGTTGCTAAGAAACAACAGGAGAAAACAGCTATTGTTCTCAGACCCTTTTTGTGGCCTTCCTGAATGCATTCAGTTGGTCACTGTTACACATAAAAAGCAGAACTAGGAGTTTTGCCCTGGGCTAGCATGTCATACATTTGGGTATAGAATCAAAGGACTGAAAAGGGTCATTCAGGCCATCAAGTCCAAGCCCTATTCAGTGCAAGAGTCTGAATTAAAGCATCCCTAACAGATCAATGTTTAGCTCTTCTTGAACACATCCAATGAAAAGGAGCCCAACATCTCATTGGGTAACTGGTTCCATTGTTGAATTGTTTTTACTGTTAAGACTTTTTTAAAAACATTCAATCAAAATCTGCCTTCTTATAATTTAAATCAATTGCTCAATGTCCTGTACTTTGAAGTAAGCCTTAGTATTCTGTGTGATATAGTTTCAGATATTTGAAGTACAGGTAGTCCTTGCTTAACAACCCTAATTGGGACCAGAATTTCTATCACTAAGCAAAGTGATTGTTAAGTGAAGCATCACATGACTGTGCCGCTTAGTGACAGCAGTTCTGGCAGCCCCATTTGCATCATTAAGCGAGGGCTTCACGCTTCTTCTGTCCTACGCAAACTGCCTCTGCTTCAGTTCCCTCCACCCATCTCCCCCCCATCTCTGCCTTTTTGGCCAACTTGTAAAGCATGGGCAAGATGAAGAGGTTGCTGTATTCCACTGCCGCCTACCCACTGCCACCCCCATCCCCCCAGCTGACCTTCATCATATTCCTCCTCCTCAGCATCTGCCTTGCCTCCTTTCCATGGGACTTACCGCCACTGGCCACCCTCAAACCCCACAGCGCAGGGCTCTGTTGGCATTAGGCTCACCCCCGCCCCGCACTGCCACCACCTCCCTGGCCACCATGGTCCTGGTGGGCCTGCCCCACTTCAGCATTCTCAGCCTGCCACTGGCTAAGGGTCATGCAGAGACCAAGAGGAGGAGGAAAAAGACAATGGAGATCTGCTGGGGGGGCTGCGGGGGGGCAGTGGGTGGCCTCTTCATCTCAGCCTGCTATGCAGGCCAGCCAAAAGGATAGAGATGGGGGGGAGACAGGCGGGTGGGGGAGTTGAAGTGGAGGCAGTTTGCACAGGGCAGGAGAATGTGTCCGCAGGAAGCTATGCCAGTAATAAATGCAGGCCAGTCACCAAGCACCTGAATTTTGATCACATGACTATGGGGACACTGCGATGGTTGAAAGTGCAATGACTAGTTGTAAGTCCATTTTTTCAGTACTGTTGTAACTTTGAACAGTCACTGAAAGAACGGACATAACCTGAGGACTACCTGTATGCTATCATATCCTCCTTAAGGCTAAACTTGCTGAGCTCATTCAAACCTTTTTCATACAATTTAGTCTTTAGTCCTATAATCATTTCCATTACACTTTCCAAAACTTGTTTCTATTTGCCTGAATCTTTTAAAAAACAGTGTCTAGAACTAGACAATACAATATTCAAAGAGTCTGAATGCTGCTGAATAAAGTAGAACTATTACATACTATGAATTGGAAACTATATTTCCAATATAGTTGGAAACCTCAACGTGCCAACTATGCCAGGCTGTGAAAAATGCTCACCTTAAATAAGAAGCCAAAATATGTGGAGATAGATGCAACAAAGTATGCTTTTATTGGAATGCACTACAGTGATCACTGGGCTCCTCACCAACAAACAGCTGGAGGGAGAGAGCCCTGAACGAAACAACTCTACAGATTATTTATGTTTTGTTTGTTATACTACAAAAAATAGATAAAAGGAATACTATAAACAAAATACAACCCTTACACAGGTAGTCCTCAGTTAAGGACAGTAATTGGGACCAGGAACTCTGTTGCTAAGCAATATAGTCATAAGGCACGTCACATGACCATGCCAAATTATGATGGCAGTTCCAGCAGTTCCACTTGTTTTTGTTAGGCAAATGCTACACAGTTGTTAGGCGCAATGTCATGTGATCGCATTTGTGACCTCTTGCCTGCTTCCCTATTGACTTTGCTTGTTGGAAGCCAGCAGTGAAGGTCACAAATGGCAATCGTATGACCGCAGGACGATGTTACCATCGTAATTGTGAGGTGGTTGCTGAGTGCCGGAATTGCAATCAGGTGACTGTGGGGACACTGCAACAGCTGCAATTTTGAGGACCAGCTGTAAGGCTCCTTGTTCAACTCCTTCACAACTCCAAATGGTTACTGAGCGAATGATCATTAACTGAGGACTACCTGTATTGGAATATTTTTTGCAGATAAACTATTGAGATGACCTCTGTGTTACTTTTCACACTATAGAATCTAAGCCTTCAAGATATCAGCACGTACAATAAACATTGTTGACTGTATTCACATCCTTTCATACCATTCCATTCACACTTTGGAGGAAAGACAATTATTTGGTTTTTGTTATCTGTCTCCATTCCAGGGTCACAGTACTGAACTCTAAGTTTTATGCACATTAATATCTAACAGAATATAGGAGTTAATTGGTAGACATATGAATTAAACCTTCACATACAGCCTTAAACTGAATTTATCTTTGTTGTAGCTACATCACACTGAAGAGTCATGTTCAAGGTATTATTCTAAGATCTTTTTCAAAAACAGTTACCCTATGTGATACATGTGCATTTGATTTGTTTCTTAAATGAAGAATTGTACATAAATAAATTTCCTTCTGTTGTTTTCAGCCAATTTCTTAAAACTATTAAGATTTATTTTGCATTTTATCTTCTACAGTATTAACTATCTATCCCTCAATGTTGCATCATCTGCAAGTTTAATAATCTTTCCCTTTCCCCCTTAGCCAAGTTCTTAATAAAAATGTTGAAAAGTAGATTTCCTAGGACTGAATCTTGTGGCACTATATTTGATACCTTATTTTAATATGCACATTTGAACCATTTGAGGAGCTGCCTCTCCACAATCACATCTACCCATCCCATCAGGTCTGGCAGGAAGGGCATGTCCCATCCATGAAGGAATGCCATCTGACAAGATCCAGGAGGAGAGCCTTTTCTGCCATGGAACCCACCCTTTGAAACATCATTCCAGATTGGCCCTGACCTTGCTGGCCTTCCAGAAAGGGATGAAAACATGGCTTTGCTGCCCGGCCTGGAGATCCAGTAATATGGGCATGGAGCCTGGAAAGTGGCTATATCGCTAGGAATATTGAGTGCACTCTCCTGCAGATTTTTTTAAATGTTTTTATTTTTAATGTTTTTAATTATTTTTATTATGTTTTTATTTTGTTGTATTGCTTTTGTGTTTTTAACTTTGTACACCGCTCAGAGTCACGTATGTGAAATGCTATATAAATTTACCAAATAAATAAACAAACAAACCACCCAGGTATCAATTGTCAAAC